GAGAATAGAGTTAGAAAAGCTGGCCTACGAGAGTCGCGATAATCGTTGTCCTAAAGTCGTGTGACGTTTCCTTCGTGCGGATATTTTTGGCATTGCACGACTCCAAGATAAAACTCTTATAGCTCACAGTCGATTCTCTTTTTATGGACACGACCCCAGGAAGAGAAAGAACAAGCCCTTATCAATTGCCAAAAGTTTATAGAAGAAGATAAAATAACAAGAGTAGTATGAGAAAAGTAATATGAAAAGAGAGTAAAGAGTATTTTTGTGTTTGATTTTGCTGTGTCAAAAAATGTGAAATCCATCCGTTTTTATAGTAGAAGAATTCAACCATCTCATTATGAAAATTAATAAAATTCAACATATGTTACAAATATAATAATGAGATTAAATTTTGTATTTAATCTAAAATTAAACACAAAACTGGGAAAAAAAAACTGAAAACTTAAAAATTAAAATGAAAAACTGAAATTTTTTAATATTTAATTTGAAAGTTTTAAAACTTATTTTTTATTTGAACAACTATTACATAGTGTAAAGATAACAGCACAATCATGTAATAGAACAATCATAATACAGGCTTGTAAGACTTGTACAAATTGTTCTGTACACTCAATACTTTCAGCTATTTCATGCATGCTGATCAATGGATGTGTATAATCATGCTTATTCATAAATATTTTTGCAATCTTTACTTAAATGAGGTGCTCATTTCCGTCAAAAGTCGTCGTTCTTCGGATCTTCATCTTAGCGCGCGTTATAAAACTCGAGACCTTATCTTTGAAGCTATCTCTTCTTGTAGCAGTTCTTCCAACCTGAGCACCACCATCACCTCCACCTCTACCACCACCAACACTTAACACGGTCCTCATTTTATTTTTGACATGATTAATATAATCCGAGAACTTATCATTCGTCTTTCTGGATTCGATCTTCTCATCTTCATCACCTTTTTCTTGTGTTGCCTTGTCCTTCGTGGACTTAGTCTTCACTATTGAAGCCATCTTCTCCTTCAACTTCGTCTTTCCCTTCATTGAAGCACGAATTGGAAGTTTATCTTTCATTGAAGGAACTTTTTCGACTTGACCATGAGTTTTGCCTTCCATTTTACCCTTTACACCACGGCATTCTCCACTGATCACTATTTCTTGTACAGAAATCTCAGAAACACGTTTAGTATCATCGTCTTTTCCAGCACTTTTCGCAGTTGTTTGCATATTTTCATTTTGTTTCATTGTAGATGGCCTAATGGAAGATTCAGATTCAATAGGAATCATTGTGGGGCTCGGTTGGTTCAGAAAAACTGGCTTCTTCGGAGGGCTATCTTTCTTGGGATTATCAGTGTTTTGAACTCGGGATTTTGGAGCAGTTTCTCTAGACAATGTGCCCTGATCCTGATGCGAAATGAGGCGAATTTTTCGACCACCAGAAACTGCATTGTAGATTTTTTCACACACGCCTTTAGAGTTTTTGTTCTTTTGGTTCTGTGCCATTGCTGCTACGTATTACAGAAGCGCAATCAGAAAATAGTGAAATGAAGAGAAAAAATCGAGTTGCAAGGGATTTTAATGAGAAAGGAGTAGTGAAGATTTAGCTGCTTAAGCAAGATTTTCTTGGGAAATACTCACCTAAGATTCCCAGTGGCACTAGATATACTTTCTTTCCCAATTTAAAATATATATTTCAGCCATACTTTGGAACATCATTGAACTTTCCTCTGCTTTTTCCAGAAAAATGTAAGTACTAATAAATCATAACTTAAGCAGCAGAACCGACAGAAAATTTTTAGTGTTGAGTGGACGTAACTCTCATAATGAGGGTAAATGCTATAAAATCTGTAGGTTTAGTCATAACAGAACGAGACTCGATTTGTCATTGTTGTTCTCTCGGACAGCACCGACTTTTCGTTACTTAAAAGCAATGGTATCTGATTCCAGAGTGCATCAGAAGTCTTAATCCCAATCAGATTTCAGCCGTGGGAATCTCATTTTCTGATTAGTGAAAACCAGAACCACATTTCCTTTACAAGAAGAAATTATATGCTTGAATTATTTGTCGATACTTAGGAAATGGGTAGGAAAAAGAAGGGAATTGTATGGTCAAGTTTATATTACTATATGAGTCCAAAAGGTGTAGACAGTAGAAAACTTGAGGAAAGTACAGAGTGGATGAATTAGTTAGCATCAGATTCTTGTCTCTTTCTTTCTCCTATCTTCAAATGAATGTGTTGATTTTATCTATCACCTAGGTAGTAATGAAAATAGATTTGTATAATTGACTCTAAATTTTGCCGGACTTATCTGGGCACTGTGCTTTTGGCAACTTCTAAAGCAATGGAATCAACAAACAAATACTAGAGGAACGTTAGAATTTTAGCCCCTATTTGTCATCCTTTAAAATTTTAAATTATTTGCAACAGTACTATTCTCCACCACATATTCACACAATAAAATATTCTACTCTCAAATCAATAAAGTTTTTTTATTTTTTAGCTATACATTCCGAGATAAATACTACTCAATAACTCATTATTTCCAAATAAATTCCATCAAACGGGCTCTTAATAGGGGAGCAGCCTAAAAATAGTAATAGATTTGTCACAATCACTGCACAGGTTTCTGTCAGCATCAAAATTCTGTCAGTTGAGTCTAAAAGTGAAACAAATTGTCATTTCTGCTGCACCCTTTCATAAGCTCTCGCATGTTTCCATAATGGGAGCTTCACTATGCTCTTATGCTATGTCGAAGCGCCTCGTTTAAAAGTTACATATTTTATGCACGTACAGGTGAGGTAGCATGTTGAAACTTAAGATTTTAGCCATGATGATTCAAAAAAGTTACTATTCAGAGTTTCATAGTGTAGAATATTCATCATCAAGTAGTAGAAGAATTCGCTAGGCATCAATTTTCTGAAAGATAGCTTTAATCATGCTTTTTTGGAACAAAAATTTATAAACAAAAGCAAATTGAAGAACTGGAGAAGCTATTTTTTTATTGCTTCAATTAATGCACCCACAAAGGAAACAACATTACATTATATATCTAACAATTAAAAGAGAAGTCTATTCATAACTGTGACTACCAACATTCGACACAGTCGCCATTTTATTCTTCACATGGTCAATATAATCAGTTCTTCCATCCCCACAACTACCAACATTCGACAAAGTCCCCATTCTCTTCTTCACACGGTCAATATAATCCGAGAACTTTTTGTTCTCAATTTCTACATTTTCGGGTGTAGTCTTCTTGTCCTCGTCGCCTTCTTCTTGTATACCCTTATCCTTCGCGGCCTTCCCCATTGAAGACATCCTCTCCTTCAACTTTGGTTTTTCCTCTGAAATAAGAGGTTTATCTTTCATTGAAGCAACTTTCTCCACTTGGCCATGAGGGTTGGGATCCATTTTAACCTTTAGGCCACGATAATCTCCATTGTTCACTGTTTCTTGTTCACATATCTCAGAAACGCGTTTAGTAGCATCTTCTTTACCTGCAATTTTCACGGCTGTTCGAAAATTTTCTCTCTCTGTCATTGGAGGTGGCCTAATGGAAGGTTCAGATTCAACAGGGATCATTCTGAAGCCCGGTTGGTTCGTAAAGCTAGCTTTTGCGGGATTATCAGTGGATTGAACTCTGGTTTTTGGAGCAGTTTCGCTAGACACTGAGGCCTGAACTTTATGTGAAACGGGGTGATTTTTTCGTCCACTGGAAAATGCATTGAAGATCTTCTCACACACACCTTCAGAATTTTTGCTCTTTCGATTTTGTGCCATTGCTGGTTCTGTATTACAGAAGTTTTACTGTACTAAGCTGTGTTGTGGAGAGAAGAAAGGAGAAGGCAAGGCCATTTAAGGAGAGAGGATCAGTGAATATTTAGCTGCCTAATCATATGTGTCTTGTGTGAAAGCCCCATGTGTCAACAAAAACATTTTAAGGGGGATCCCAACCTAAGATTCCCAACTGCACTAGAGATTCTCTGGATTAATATGAATATTATAGTCAGAGTTTAGGATGCCTTCCAAGCATTAGCCACTGGTTCGACTCTCGTAAAGCTTTTTCTCAAGATGACACCAACATTTCGTTGCATTACAGCTACAGGAACCAGAAGCCTGATGTCCTGAGAAGGTATATGATTCCAGGGTGCATCAGAAGTCCTAAATCAGGTTGCATCTGGTTCCAGAGTGCATCAATAGTCTTAATTCCAATTCTCTCTTTTTTTTCCTTTTTTTTTTTTTTTTTTTTTTTTTTACTTTTCTTGAAATGAAAATGAAACATGAAAATAGATTAATATGGCTATGGATGATGTGGCAGTATGATGTCTTGATGAAGTCAGCTATAAGAACCTTGAACTTCTCATAGAAGTTTGTTACACACATAAAGAAGGGTAGCGCGTACCTGACACCTAAAAACCTATCATTAACTGTGCTAGCCGCTAAAAATTTGCACATAACAATACAAGTCAATACTTGTCATCATAGTCGAATCAACCACCACATCCTGTGTCTTCAGTGGCCAAGTTTACTTATCGACTTTAATCTTACATGTTTTTAGTAGACTTTAAGCTCCAGATGATCAATCCAAACTTGTGCCCTTGTCACATGATATTTCAAATCCGAATTACTTGGAACTCCAATCAATAGTCAATAGAAACTTGACTAAACTATACATCATTTGCCGCCTATGCCATGTTTGGTAAGATGAACTATACAATATAAAATGACATTTAGAACAGAAAAAGAAGTTAAAATTTTATCCATTGTACAATTCAAACATGTCCAATATTTGCGTAGCTAACATGCACTTTAATGTAAACATGGATGCGAAGATGATATCAGAACCTCCTTAACTAAAAGTTAACCATTCCAAAAGCAAAGAACAACAGTACCATTGAAGTGTAAGATCTAGCAGATTAGCTAAAAGAGGTACAAAACTGAAAGCACATCGACTTTTTCCCTAATGCACTAAAGCAGTATGCACCAAAGAAGCTACGATCCCAAAGAATGAAGAGCGAAAGCACATTACATATCGATATAGATTTGTTGTAATTCACAGCATATGAGATATTATTTACAAATGTCACAAGAAAATATCAGGAGTACTCAAAAAAAAAAAAAAAAGAAAACAAAAAAGTAATTGGACAAATCGGGAAATTTCTCGAGCAGAAATCCATGGGTAATGAAATTTCTTACAATCCGTGTATATAAGAAGAAAGTTCCATGGAAATGATGAAAACAGCTCACAACTTTAAATTTAGAGCTGAACCGAACATCTTTACGGTCATCTAACTGTCTTCCAATTTGGTGAGCAACTTCAACTTCCATTCAATGCTGGAACCTCAAACAACATTTAATGCCGGAAAGTTTTAACTACCTGATCAATATGTCTTCGACAGAGTGGACAGTTTGTCAAATGCGAAGAGCATGCCATACAACAGCACATATGACCACACCTGAACAACAAACAGATTGCTGATTAATTTAATTTCAATTCCTCAACTGGAGCGCATATGCAACCAAGGTAAACAATTTCTCTATAATAGTGACAGAATTAGAGATCCATGCTGATCATGTTCATCAAAGTTGTACCGAACTACTGTAATTATGGACGTTCTTAGTTCCTTTTGCACAGTTTTAATCATTGTTGAGAAAAAATTGACTGCATCAACTGCAATTTTCCTCCACATATAAGTGCATGCAAAATTTTCCTCCACATATAAGTGCATGCAAAATCATATGTTAGCAAAGAATTGAGCCATGATGAACCAGACTATTTCCCAGAACTTATTCATCTTTAAACACGAAGAAATAACAAACAAGCTATTTTCTAATTGGTGCTAAAGAGTTACCCACTCATTAGGATGCATATAAGAACAACAGAAATAATCTTAGGACACTGCACCAATAAGTTACATCTTCATAAAGAAAGTATGAAATGATACATATTTATAAAGAAATATTCATGAAGTTTAATCAAGTATGGGACTGCACCATGAGATGAAAAACAAAAATTTTCATTCAGGCACTTACGGGACAAACACTGAATTGTAATCCTGCTCTAGACATATCACACATAAATCTGGCATCAGTCTGTCTTTCTTGGTATGATCTGATGATCCACACTCAGATATACCATTTAAACCTGTAAATTGTGACAGAAGGTAAACAAGCAAGGCTAAAGCGCTGAAACAGTACATTTATGAATAGGAAAAAAATGTCAATAAACTAAGGCACACAGAACGTTACCTTCTTCCTCCTGCCCGGCTCTTTTTGCGGCAGCAGCAAGAACCCTACAAGCAGAATGTTTCTTCAAATTAGGTTTAACCCATCATAATGAACAATGACAAAACCCAATATAGAGCCATACTTGTTTACCATGAATGAATATATGTGGCCTCTTTTACCATGAATGAATATATGTGGCCTCTATTCAACAACGTGGATATTCATTTATTAGCAGCGAAACACAAACAGGTAAAATGGACCTCAAAAACTGGATGCGACGATGCACATTGCCTGATTATTTCGAAGAGGAACGCATAAAAATATGCATGTAAAACAGCCAACTTGAGTTGATTTTGAGTTACTCAAGCTTGATTTTAGATCATACTATTCAACAACAGAGATAAAGTCTAAACTTAAAAATGTATGAAAAACTGGCTCATTTCAACTGCCAATAGAAACTTGAAAGCGCTATAGACACCAAAACAGAGCCAGTCAATAGCTCAAGCTTATTCACCACACCGCATGTACACGTAATGAGCCAAATCGCTTGTAAAATTAGCACCTACGTCAATCGTATGAATATACACAGAATGTCTATAAAATGAATGGCAGTAGTTCACTTGGTTACTGTAGTTTAACAGCATCCATAACCACTTCAATGGTTTCTTAACCAACCAGTGCTGTCTTACATTATGTTCGCCAAGTGTAAAACATTTATAAATGGTCAAAAAAGGATCATTCCAACTTTTATCCACACTTTATTGAACCCACAAGTACTATTCACTTATCCACCATTCATTTCTATCTATTTATAAACAAAACCTTATATAAACACCTCCAAATCAAGCTTTTAGTTGATAATAATTACAGAATATAGGAAAGTTCCCATTTATATTTTTAATAAATTGCAGATAAAAATATCCAAACGTAAAACAAGGGGAAAAAATCAAGAGGAAACTTGTATGTAAATTGCAAGAGCACTGACACAAGACGAGATCTAAGAAACATCAACTAGTAGCAAGGAAGATAATAACAACTTTAAGCATAAGATACAAAGATGGATATGAATGCTTGAAATTTGAGAAAAACATAGTCAAAGATGGGGGAAAAAATGAAAGGGATTAATTCACTAAAAACATAGTCCAAGACCAGGAAAAAAACATGAAAGGGATTAATTTTGTCATGTGGTGGACAAGAGACTCAGTTAAATAATTCTTAGATAACTTCAATCATTTGAAGAAAACATGCATTTATACACATTTCAAACCTGTAACAATCGATGTGCAAGCCAAATTTCAAAAGAACAGGTAAGCTAAAACGCTTCTTTATTACTTGAATAAAATTGTTCTCATGATACAAAGAACGTTCAATCACCAGCACTATCATTCCATGGCAAGGATTGAAAGAATGTATGGGGAAAATGTTTGGGCTTTTGTATTTGTAATTAGTGCTGTGGCCTAAATGTGGCTGCTTGTTCTTTACAATGATAACATGAAATCATCTCATGCATCATATGCATTATCAATGTATAGTGAACTCTACCTCTTTCGCATTTCCCAATGACGCTTTCTCTCCATTATATATTGGAAAGCATGTTTTGCAAGAAGATAAACCCCAAACACAGTAAACCCCATTGAGGCATACTTATACAACCTGAAAGTAAATTTATATGCCACATTAGAAGAGGAAGCATAAACATCATAACAGGTTTGTGAAAATAAGCATACGTCAGAGAAATATACTGAGAGAGAGAAGTCGAAAACAGGTTTTCACTTTCTCAGCTCTTTTTTAATAGTTGAGTGGGATGGGAGTTGTACGTCTATATCAAGAATATTGTAAAGGGGGACAAATAAACCTTGCCCATTTCCCAAGATTTGCAATGAGCTGATCAATGGTTTTGTCAGAGACATAAAAGGGGCCTTTGTGGGGTCGCTGAATTCGTACTGTTCCAATATCATCCTTAACAGCCTGATAAAGCAAATGAAGTAACCATTAAGGGAGAAGGCCAACTTTCGAAATATTAAATAATACTCTTAATTTTCTAAAGTAACAACTGAGAATGTGTGATCAGTTGTAGATTAAAATTCAAGGATGATAAATGTCCTCCAACAAGCTATGCTTCAAGGCCTTTCTGTAGCTCACCATTGTAATACAGGCTGATGAATGTACCCTTTTCCCATCTCACCAATCCAAGCTCACATCCAAATCAAGATAAAAAAATAGAAATAAAAATTAAAGCCTAAGTGACCTCACACCGCACAACAAACAAGTTTATGGATTGGATTACCTTGACTGAATGTTCCCCACTATTTTTTCACCATCTTTTGGAGGAACCAATTCCCATTATGCATATTTGGACTGTAAACACTTTATAGTCGAAGCTTGATAAACTCAGCCCTTGTTTTTTGCCATAAATGTACTAATACTTTGTCATGCGTTTACACTTAATTGTAAAATCAATAGTTATAGTCTAGTTTTGAAATTGACTTTTGAATATATAAATGAAGAAGATTTTTTGTCTTCTTGAGAAGTGTCATACCTCACCAACAACTGTCAAGGGTGTACCAGTTGGAAGAACACGTTCAATTCTTTTGACTCCAAGCATCTAACAAAGACAATCATAATTGAAAGTGTTTGAGCCAACAGCATAAGCATGCTTAATTGCAGATGCAGGATAGCAAACGTGAGAATATATGGAGATCAAACCAGACCTTCAGACCTTGGAGATAATCCAAAGTTCCACGCACAAGGGACCGTCCTGACTCCTCAAACACTTCACTTCCAACTGTCAATACCAAACCCGTGGCACCACGGGCTCCAACAACATGTACACGGGCAGTGCCATCATCCTGTTATAAAAAGCAAAAAGATAGAACATAGAACATAGCCTCTAAAATTACACTTTTAAGTCTGAAGCGATGCATATTATGCGTCAATTTTCATTTTAACACAGTGATTATAACCAGCTAGATGTGCCATGGTACAACAAAAATGTGTGCATAATGCTTTTACAGAAGTGCGTGTTCAGTCTGATCTCAGCAAGGCATGGAGAACAAAATCTAATTTTACCAGGTACCAAGGAACTTCTTTGCACATGGAGAGCATCAAAGCTGAATCTTGTATCCATGATCCTGCATCATTGTGTTTCAGAAAGTGCTGCTCTGCCTGAATGAATATGAGAAGAATGCTTGGGTAAGAACTACTGACAATTAGGGATTTTTTTTTCCTTTATGTATTTTCCAGAAAAGTGAATCCAAGTACCGTTTGCTCCACAATTACGCCCCGTAAACCACTGTACTCGCAATTGATTGGTGTATCTGAGCCAACCCTCCCAGACACAGTGACTACCAAAGGCAAAACTTTGCACGCAGTATCCAGTAGTTGAGCTGAAATATGTAAAAGCATACTATGACAAATTTCATAGTGTTAACTTTGTAAAATTATGCAAATTGTGATAATCCAGCTAAAAATACTCAAAATGAAAAAAAAAAAAAAAAAATTCCTTTAAAAAATTCAAATTTTGTCAAATTAAATAAGTCAGTAATGGTAAAAGGTGCTCATACTCCACCATTGTGCTGCACATTGGAATCCACTTTTTCAAAAAATACATTTTTTTATTTTAATTTTTTTGTAATTAAGAGACTTAAAAATGGATAATTAAAATTGTTCAGTGCCATGCCAATTATATCATAAGCAAAAAATTGCATAATTTACACAATCAGACATTATAATTTGCTCACAATAATTCAATCGGAAAACTAAAGCAACAGCAATGGCTCCACTCACCCAATTCCTTTAATTGGCTAACTCGAGTAACTGATTTCAGAATTTCGGCATCCCTAGACATGAAAACCCTTAAATTAAATTCCAAATTAGACTAGAATACACTTAATTAATTCCATTTAGACATGAAAACACGGAATTAATTCTAATATGGAAAATCAAACAACTAAATCCAGAAACATCACAAGAAATTGAAAGTAAACAGACCTTCCGCTGCTCCTTCCAAGAAGGTAAAGTGCAGCTGCACTCAGGCAGCATGTTAATCCACCAATTGGAACCATCATCTAATAATTCCAGCCAAAATTCAAAATAGATAAAGACACAGACACCAGGTTTTAGTTAATAGAGATACAGTCTTCATACACAGAAATTTTAGCAGTATAATAGAAAAGAATTCAGATAAAGCAAAAAAAAAAGATTTTTCCTGAATAGAAGTAAAGGAAATTAAGTTGAAACAGAAAAAAGGTGAAATTTTGATTTCTTTTTGAGGTAAAAAAAGGAAGAAAGAGAAAAGTAACTGCAAGAGGGAATCCGATGCGAGGAGTGGAGGAGAGGACGAAGAAACGGTTCTCGCCTGGGCGTCTTGTCAAGGTTCACACACAATCCCACGTTCCTTAACGAAAGTCGCATTTTGAGAAAAATAAAGTCGTTATATTTAAAGTCGCATGTTGTATTCATCTCTGCTCGGAGAAGGGCTGAACGTTGTCTAGTTCAATTCAATTCTAATGATAATCGAATCGGACCCGAAATTTTTAGTTACTTAGTTGGTGGAACTGTTGGATCCAAATTTAATTATGAAATCGTTCGATTCAATTTCATTCAATTACCGTTTTGTACTATAATTAATTTTTTAAATATTTACAAAACTATATTAATTCAACTAATCACATGTTTAATCTTAACTTTTATAAAATAACATAATCCAATATTATGTGTCTTTGCTTCTCTTTTTGTTGAATTCTTCATAGATTTAATTGTTAAAATCATTTAAAAAAAAAAGATAGCGAGCTCATAATAATTAAGGGATATGTTGTCAAACTTCAATTTAATTTTTTCAAAACGATAGAAATAACACTACAGTATAATAAAAATTTTGAGTAAATTTAGATCAATTTGATTCAATTGGGTTTGGACTGGAAATTAAAAATGGGAAAATCACTAAATTAACTAGTTAACAAATTTATTTTAAAAAATTAAAATAATTTGATTTATTTAAAATAAATAAATTCAAAAATTTAGGGAGATTCAATTTTTCGGATCTTGATCTAAAATAGAGAATCGAACGTTCGGATATTTAACTTGAAAAGAAGAGTTCAATTCTATTAGGGTCCGATTCGATCAGTTCGATTCGAATTTTGTCCAATCTAGTCCATATTTCTGTTGTACACGGCCCAGGATGTCAGAAAGCTTGACATTGGGCCCAGCCCAATAATAACGGGCTAGACGAACGACGTCGTCTTGAAGCTCTTTCCATTTCAAAAACCCTGCATTTCCAAAACCCCCCTCTCACACGCTCACTCGCTCTCTCTACATTTTTCTTTTTTTCCATCGGAAATGGCTTCATCGGCATTTCGAAATCCTAATTCAAGGCGAGTATGCATACTGACTCCACAAATATACTCTTCCAGCTTCCGAGCATCAGTAGCCCCTGCGCCGTTGTCAGTTTTCGAATTGCCAATTTCTTCCAATGAAATCCCGTCTGTTTCCAACCCTTGGTGGAGATCCATGGCCACCTTCACTCGCACGTAAGCTAACTGTTTTAATTTAGTTCATGAATTGCATACCAATACTAAAGATCGTGGACTTATTTTTTCTTTTGGATATTTGAAGACAGTTTTGTTTGTTATAAATATCTGATGTTTATTGGATGAATTCAGAATACATTTTTTAGCTAACTGTTTTAATTTAGTTCATGAATTGCATACCAATACTAAAGATCGTGGACTTATTTTTTCTTTTGGATATTTGAAGACAGTTTTGTTTGTTATAAATATCTGATGTTTATTGGATGAATTCAGAATACATTTTTTAGCTAACTGTTTTAATTTAGTTCATGAATTGCATACTGGCAGAAAACCTCATGTGAATGTAGGAACAATTGGACACGTTGATCATGGAAAGACTACCTTAACGGCTGCAATCACTAGGGTAACGTTACAGAAATCTGTGATTCTAGGTCATTTTGTTCCACCATTTTTTAAACTTTTATTTCTTTGCTTACTTGTGGCTTCTTAAACTGTAGCTGTCATTTGGATTCACATGGACTCTGAGATGCATTTTCTTGGCTTTAATATAGGTCTTATCAGAAGAAGGGAAGGCTAAGGCCATTGCTTTTGATGAAATCGACAAAGCTCCCGAAGAGAAAAAGAGAGGAATTACCATTGCCACTGTTGGAATCTTTTCCCTTTTTCATCATCTCTCATTAGATTTATCATTTATTTTGCCTGCGGCATCCTTATTTTGAATGTATAACTTAATTTTGCAGGCACACGTGGAATATGAGACTACAAAGAGGCATTATGCTCATGTAGATTGTCCTGGACATGCTGATTATGTTAAAGTGAGATGTAAAATCTGCTTTTTCTTATTCTAACTGAAGTTTCTTTGCTTTCCATTTCCATGACTAGTACTATTATAATGGCTTGTGATCATGTGTGTTTCTATGTGATTACTTGGATATATCATTGAGAAGGTGCTAGTTGAGACATTTACGAGATTCAAATTAGAAAATTACCATAGAGGGCCGAACCCTCTATGGTAATCCCACCTCAGAACTGCAATGATAAACACAAGGCCAGGCACTCTGAATGAAAATTTTCTCCTTAACCGGGTTATATATATATTTTTTTCATCACATCACTTTTGTAATACATCTTTTATAGTCTCAGTTAGTTCTTCTTACTCAAATCAGCCAATTCAGATGCATCTTTGATGTCGAACGTATATCCTACGTATGGATCCACTGACTCAAAATACATTTTGAAACTACTTTCCAAAGGAAACAAAAATCTAAATCCCATGGAATATATTTTGCTCACAAGTTGCAAATATAATAAATCGGAAATTATTATTACAATAAGGAAACTTTGGAAAACTAGCTGAACATATTGGTATTGGACAATTGACATGCATTCACAAATTTGAAATCAGTTTTTGGAAAATGTCATTTGTTAGTTTGTGGTTGATCATTTTGTTTGCCAAAATTATGATCTGATGTGTTCCTTCTTCGACTTTTGATCACATACAGAACATGATTACAGGAGCTGCTCAAATGGATGGGGGTATTCTAGTTGTTTCTGCCCCTGATGGGCCAATGCCGCAGACGAAAGAACATATTCTACTGGCACGCCAGGTTGCTACGATGACATGAGATTTGACAATTCTAGAAAACAACAACATGAAAGTACAGTATTGCAGTCCTTGTTTCGTTTCCCATTATTTATTTCTACATGCAATGCAGGTCGGCGTGCCGTCACTTGTGTGCTTTCTTAATAAAGTTGATGCTGTTGATGATCCAGAATTGCTGGAGCTTGTGGAAATGGAGCTACGAGGTCAGCTAAATTTTGAGTCTGATATTCAATATACATTTATGGAACTGTGACTCTAATTCTTTTGTATAAACTCATCATATTTGTAGAATTGCTTAGCTTTTACAAGTTTCCTGGGGATGAAATTCCCATAGTTCAAGGATCTGCTCTGTCTGCTTTAGAGGGTAAAAATGAAGAAATAGGGAAAAAGGCTATCTTAAAACTCATGGAAGCTGTAGATTCCTACATTCCTGATCCTGTACGTCAGCTTGATAAGCCTTTCCTGATGCCCGTTGAAGATGTTTTCACTATTCAGGTAAACTAGATATGCTTTATATATTTGGAGCCTGTTTGAGCCCCTCTTTATTGTAAGAATACATTTTGGAATAGTAGATTGATGGAGAATGTGTGGTTAAAAACTAAGGAAGGGTTTGTATGTAATATTTTATTGAAAAATGTGTAGTTAAAAAGAAGAGAGAGAAAAACGAATTTTGGAAATAATGGGGATCAAGCAAGGGCTTGATAATGTCATGCAAAAAACTGCCTTCTTTTTGAGCGTTCTTCCTTCTCATTGTACTTAATAATTTTTAGTCTGCTGCCAGTGGGAAAAATTTCTTGACATTTCTGCAATAGTAAATTGTTGCTATGTTATTCTTTTGGTCAAACGATGTCTCTGTTTGATTTTTAGATGCTAAAGGCATGGAAAATGTGGTTAAGTAGGAGCTGTCTGATGATAATGAGTTATTTTATTTTATTTTATTATTATTATTATTTTTGTCAATGTATTGTTTTCCTTGTGTCATCATATTTTGAAACTCTTTTTTTGATGTCTTGAAGGGCCGTGGTACTGTTGCCACTGGCCGCGTAGAACAGGGCGTGATCAAACCAGGCGATGATGTGGAGATTTTGGGGCTTACACAGGTCATTACTAGCCTGATCTGGAAATTAAATTTTTCTGACTTTTATTTTATTTTATTTTTTGTCATTTTAATTGTGGCTGGTGTGAAGTTAATGTTTTTATGGGTAGACGGTCACTGATCCAACCTATTAACCCTATAACATTCTTGAGGCATCTATTTTATTTGGATTCAAGTCTCTACTGCCGGAATCCACCAAGGTTACTTCCACGTGTTTACTTCTTGAGTCTAGTAAAGAATCGAATGGCTCAAATATCAGCTTTTGAAACCAGAGGAACAGTGGGAACTATTGACCTTAAACCTTCATCAGCTGCAAAGAGTGGAATGCTAAAGCTGACTCGTTAGAGAAACTGAAAAATGGTCATTCTTTTACATGATGTCACCCCCTGTTCCTTATTAAATATTAGTATATGGGGAAAGTAGGAGAGAGGATGGAAAGCTAGAGAAGTTAAAAGTAGAATTGTATAGATCAGTATGTTGCAGGTAGGTGCTTCAGCTCAGGACGACATACCTCAGTGTTCATCTTAATTATTAAGGAAGAAAGTGAATAATCGTGATAAATGGTTGATGAGGTACATGGTATTAACTTGCTAATTTGCTTCCACAGATTGCCTAAGATGTTAATGTTCGATTTCTAAATTTGAGGGCATATATAAAACAAGTTGCACATCACAAGTTTTTATCTTGATTGGTCCTCTAGGTTTTCATGTATGTCAATGATCATGGTGGATGTGGTGAAGCCTTTATCTTGATTTAGGTTCTTGATGAACTGAGGCCAGCTCTACCTATCACTTCCCTTCTCTTGGATTCAAATATATATATATATATATATATATATATATATATACTTTCTTTTTTTAAATCCTACTTTATGCTCGAACTTTATTTATTATATGATTTATTTGTCTTACTAATTGTACTACGTGCCGAACTTCCTCTGTTATGCTGCTAACTTTCATTTTTGTGCTATAGAACCCTAGAAAAACTACAGTGACTGGTGTTGAGATGTTCAAGAAGATTTTGGATTTTGGGCAGGTAAGGGCTTCAGTTACTAGTAGTTACTTTTACCTGAATTTCTATGTGGCGCTCATTGCAAATCTAATCTTTTCCTAGGCCGGTGACAATGTGGGTCTTCTTCTACGTGGCCTGAAACGTGAGGATATCCAACGAGGAATGGTTAGTGTCACTGATTGTTTTCTATGATACAATAGTAGTATTCTATGCTGTAATTTACCTGGATGGGACACTGAATACTGCTTCCAGACTTCAACTATCCAAGGAGTGCTTGTGTGGAAATTTAGTGTGTGTGTCCAATTTATTTATTATTGAGATGCTAAGGAGTGGGTTTCTACATGAATGTTAAGAAGTGCTGCCATTCCGTCCTTTGGAATTACATGATAGAAGTAAAATCCCCCAGGGCAATTAACCATTTCTGCTGATCTTTGTTGTTGCAGGTGATTGCAAAGCCTAACACTATTAAAACATACACAAAGTTTGAAGCAGAGATTTATGTGCTCACAAAAGAGGAAGGTGGTCGCCATACGGCCTTCTTCTCCAATTACAGACCCCAATTCTACATGAGGACGGCCGATGTCACTGGTAAAGTCGAGTTGCCTGAAAATGTTAAGATGGTTATGCCAGGGGACAATGTGACAGCTGCCTTTGAGCTGATATACCCAGTTCCACTAGAAGCAGGTGTGTGTCCTCATTTGCCATGATGTCCTGTTCCAGATTTATTTCATTGGTCATAAAGATTTTACACTCAGTGAGTCTGATTTCTAGCTTATTTGATCATTTTCTTTTCTGAAAGTGGAATTTAATTGTGATGAGCTGTTCTCTTTGTGATTACTTTCTGCTTGATACTTGCTGAAGAATTTATCCTGTGCTCGGGTTTTATGAACTCTTAGTGCTCAATTAGAAAAAGCCTCCAATTGTTTTGAGTAATGTTGTTCTGTTGTCTTCACTGAAACACAACTATGGTCATTTGATCATGCACGTTACAGAAAGAAAAAGAAAAGTTGTACATGCCTCGAGCATCCCTACTGCTTTTAATTTTGTAGACAGGAGCTTACAACAATCGCTTCTTATTTACAGGACAAAGATTTGCCCTGAGGGAAGGTGGCCGGACTGTTGGTGCCGGTGTTGTCTCAAAAGTCAGAAGTTGAGACGGGGATGCAAAGCTTTTATGCTGCCTCCGTTCATCTAATTTTTTTTTCCCACCAGAAGAGGTTTAGGAATGAAGATTCATTTGTAATACGTTATTTGCGGGACAAAGGTATGTCCTAGAATGGTTAATATGGACTCACTCGTCTTGGCACTTTGTTGAATGTCATTTTCGTGAGGGGATACCAGTTAGTGAAATAAAAAAACTATTAAGCAAAACATAAAGGCTACATCTTATTTTTAGGTACAAAATCGTGCAGGGAAGTGAATTGGATAACTTGACAATAGAAACTACCATCTAGGCAAGAGACTGTAAATCACTATATTGTCATATCTGTAGTTTATAAATTGTTACCAACAATGTAATTGCCAATGTTGTATATGCCCTAAGCACAAGTTATGATGAGCTTTATATAGTTCACTTATCTTCCAAGCCACAATTACTTTTTTGGAACACTCTTGTGCATCTCAAATAAGAGGAAGTGGAATCAGGTGAATTTATTGTGACATCCAGGAATTTCAATGTGTGAATCGGCAGTTCATATTACAAAAAGCTTATTTGATTTTATCAATTGTTAGAAAAAGGACTTTTCGAAAAAATCATGAATTTTCCAGGATTTTATCTAAAACTTACGGCATCTTGCCAAACAAAGGTTAAGAGAGAAAAGGAAGAAAAAAAAATGAGTAATGTTATTGGTAGTCATTTACTGCGATAGTCGCTATACGTGGTATACACATGGCAGGTAATTATTTAATATATTAATGTGGTAATTTTTTTATTCATTAATGCATCAAATAATCACCTGTCATGTGTATGCCACGTAGGGTGATCGTTGTAGTGAGCAACTGCAAATAACATTATTAAAAAAAAATACAGGTATGACAAGTATAACATGTACGATTGAATTAAAAAAAAAATGTTTAGGCTTGGGCAAATTTTCGAAGCTGCAAGAACGTTTTTGGAATATCTTGTGCGTATCTATTTTAACTAATAAGATGAATTGTATTATTGAATTATGTTTTAACGATTTTAAAATTGAACCAAGTTGTTTGGAAAATGTTCAATTTAGGTTTCGATGGATATAATTTCTTGAAACTAAATAGAATCGGTCATTAAAGTTTTATAAAAATTACCAAAAATATTTAATTTATTAGATCGATTATAGTTCAACATATCTACTTTCTAGTCGATTTCTATAGACTATTTTGGGGAAAAATGATTTATCATTACTAATTCTTTTTAGAATGTAACTAAAAACTTAAATTTTATCGAACTTGTATTAATTTATTGATTTAGGTTTTTATTGAGAAGATTATATTATAAGTGTATCATTTATGTTTAGTATATGTTAATTAATCAATGTTTTTCTAAGAAGAACGAACAACGGTTCGGCCCGGTTCGGACTGCCATGGAAATATGACGTAACAATTTTCCTAGCCCGCCAGTATTTCAAGGTTTTAGGCGCTCTGAATAGAATCCCCAATTCTTTCACACAAAAGAAAATATGGTAATGCATTTTCCTCATTCTTCTGCGTTTCTTTGTTTGTATTTTAATTTAATTTGATTTGGATTTAGTTTATTTTGATTTGGTGTGCAGTTGTTCTTCTCGTACTTCAAGGATTTGGTGGGACGGGAAGTAACAGTAGAATTAAAGAACGATTTAGCCATACGGGGAACCCTTCACTCGGTGGATCAGTACCTGAACATTAAGCTTGAAAACACTAGGGTTGTCGATCAAGACAAGTACCCCCACATGGTTATTGATTCTCTCCGCCTTTTTTTTGTTGGGGGTTAGGGTTTAGAGTTTAATTCTAACATAAAAATCTCTGATTTTCTGTTCTAATAACATATAAATAAATTTGTTTACCAGTTTCAGTTTAGTTGAATGTCTCGATAGCTAGTTGTTTTTCATACTTGTCGTATCTCATGAGTAATATATGCGATGCTGAATATTTGAAAATTCGTGTGCCTTGTAAAGCCAAGGTGAAAATTATAGGTCCTTAGGAAATTCGAAGCAATGGAAAATTGTTTGGGAGTGATTGTGGAAATTAATGATTGTGAAGATGTTGAAATTTGGTTTGAAATAAGTTGGTATCAAAACTTCTTTTATTCTTGTGATTTTATCACATATGCGTGGATGGTGAACCTTACAGGATTTTAAAATTTTAGTTCAACAATTCAATGTTTAATCTTAAAAGATTCATTTTTTGCTTCCGAATTAACGAGGATAATTTCCGTTCTGATCAAATTCTCCAGTGGGAGACATAGTTACATAGCCAAGACCATAGGGATGATTTTGAAGTTCTAATTGGTGATGCAAATTTATATTTTTTAAACAGCATAAAGTTTTATATGTAATTTATTTGAAGTTTTTGTAATTTAAATATTAAATTTAATCTCTGTCCACTGGTGTTGTTTGGACAGCAACTTCGCCTTTTGGTGCTGTACAAGTTGGTTAACCCTTGAAATTATGTCTTCATCTTCTAACCAAAACAAAGAATCCACTCTTGGAGTTCAATTCTAATTATTCAATAGAAATATTCATTTACAACGGCAAAAACTTGTTTTTTGGTTTTTTTAATCTTACAAATCTCAATTGGGATATTTCTTTCAATTGAACGTTTAATTTCCTATTGGAATTCGAACTATGTTTGGTCCTATTTTATTGACAAAAGGCCACGATTATCATTACATTGAATTGTTACAGAAAAATCTCAAAATTAATGTATGATCGCGTAAATTAGATATATTCTTTTCACGAGAATTTATAGTTTTGAAAATTATGAAATTAATATTTGACATTTTCCTTTTTGGATTATTAGTTTTAAATTTAAGGGCCAAATACTTATGGAAATTTTGTTCTTTTTTTGTTATGAAAATATAAAACCTGTTTACTGTCCATAATTAAAATGAAAATTCTCTTTTTTCCATCTTCAATTCTTCATTAAACTTGTAAACCTCTTTCAGTTCTCATTTTCGAGCAGAACATACATACATTTTTTCACAGAATTTTCTAGTTCAGAGTGCAAGGCGGAATTTATTATTTACTTTACTTCATCAAGTTTTTTCCAATGGAATATCCCAATCACGATCTGGTAACCCTTTTTCTCCTTTTTCTTTGTTCAAGTTTAATCTTTAACATTACTTCTATTACAAGATGATCAGTACTGTACAATCTATCTTGCTAAACGAACCATAAACGAAATCTGTGTTTTATTGCAGACTAGTGTTTTCAAAGTGGAGAATTTATGTTGCAAGGCCTTCCAAAAGAAATTGAAGAAAGATTTATCAAAAATTCCTGGTATTTTTTACTATTATGACTTGTTTTCATACGAAATTATGTACAGAGATTGATTTTTTTTTATTTTATTTTAATTTTCAATTTTACACGTTTGGGTGCTAGGGGTTTATAATGTTGCTATACATCCAGAAAGGAGTCTTGTACTAGTTAAAGGCAAAGTGGATCCTACGTTCGTCAAGGCTGTTGTAGCAAAATTAGGCAAAAATGCACAATTTTTGTCCCATGAAAGACAACCTAGGAATAACAGAGAACATGTTGATGAACACCCTAATTATCCCAATGGCACTGGAAATACTTCTCATCAGAATTGGATGCACAAAAACTGTTCTTGCCCAGATTGTAATGGCCACAAGATGGAAGAAAATTTTCACGGATTTCATGATCACGTTAATCGACCTGGTCGCAAGATGGAAGATAATTTTAACAGATTTCGAGATCACTTTCCACCAGATGCTGACGAACGTGTATGCAGGGATGAACACTGCAAAATTCATCATCCGAGGAACATGTATAATGATCACATGCATGGAAGAGAAAGCACAGGCATGTTTGGGCATTTTGCACAGAGACCTTATCATGGGATAAATTCTAGGTTTCGTAAATATAGAGACGAACATTATCCATTCAGGGATGACACATACCTTCAGCCAACGAGGATGCCACCGCCTGCTTCATATGGGTTCAGTTCAGAAAGGCCAATGCCACCATACGACGATTTCCACACCTCATTCAGTGGTGAAAATGCAAGAAACTGCTGTTTAATGTAAAGTAGCCGAACAATGGGCGGAACTTCATTCTTGATACTCCCTGAATTTTCGTACTATGCACTCGAATAGAAATTTTCTGGGACAGTCTAATTGGTGCTTTATCGTGTTTTTAGATCCCGTTTCTACTTCATAAATATAATCTCGACTGAGATTTTACGTTAAATCGTATTGGTCCTGAACTTTGTCCTGCAGGGTGTAAAATTGAGGTGAATGTCTCACATGGTATGGAAGTTTCCATCTTTATTTTAGCACAAACTTGACAATTATTGGTCATATACTTGTTCGATGCTGATTGCATGTTCTACTTGACATACTTGACAAACGAATTCAGCATGTCACTGTGGGCTTCTTCAGCAAATTTCACACCTTTCTCGTCCTCCAATTGTACCTCACAGTCCACCCGTGAGCAACACCGAGAAAGATTTTCACAAAGCTAGCAACTTATAGGGGAAAAAGAAGACTTGTCAAATAGCTTATGGCTCGTGCTTTTGTGTTGATTCCTAATCAAATGTGCTCATACCTCAGGTTTATAGGACAAAATCTTCTCAAACTGTTTGAAAAGCTCTGGAGGAGAATGGATGTCAGTCTTGCCTCCCAGAATAGCCACTGGAGCCTTAACCTTATTGTGAAAGTTTGGTATGTCTAACCACAAACAAATCTTATGATGCTGAAACACGTTTATAGGTATCGGGTACATGTACATATTTAAGTGTTGAATATTTTATTTTTTAAAATATAGGATATAGGGATGTGACTAAAAGGAGTCTAAATTTCGAATACGGACATATGGGTACGTCTTTCAAACTTTAATTTATTTTTTTTATTAACCCAATATGTCATTTTAAATAGACCTAAATCAATTGTCCACAAAGAAATAAGTAAGTATTGACTAAGGGGTTAATACTAATAAATAGAATTTTGAAGTTTAGTTTTCAATTATGGGAAATTAATTATTAAATGTTATATAAAATAGAAATAAAGGACTTAATTGCAATTTGAATTTAGTGGAAACTAAATATAGAACTCATTTTCATTTTATATAAAGAAAACCCTAAACCTAAAGAAGGAAGAAAAAGGAAGGAAAAAAGAAAAAGAAGGGAAACCTAGCGAAATGGTGGTGGAATAATGCCTCCTGATCCTCCTGGCGGTCTTTGGTATTTCTGCTACTCCGACGGGCGTGTGTAACCTGAAAAGTGAAGGCGAGACTTTCTCCCCCATTTTATCTTCGGCGTGAGAATCAGTATACGTGTTAGGAGAAAATAAAGTCGGAATTCAGATGGCTGAAAAATATGCAATCCTCTATACCTATGTTGCCCTTGGGGGGTATTTATAGACGTCGAAAGCCAAGTGAAAGCCAGGTGGTTGTGGTGCCACGTGTCTTACGTTAGCCTTCCCATTATCCTCACATTCTGAAAGGGGGGTCTTAACTACCCCCGGAGGTTGTGCCCGAGATAACCGCCATGTAAGATTGTTAATTCATCAGAGATTTTATGACTAAGTGTTGAGATAGCTTATAGGTAATTCCATGCCGGTCGACGCTTGTAGAGATAGAGCGCTTAAGGGGGTCGATGGTCTCTCATAGAGGTAGAGCACTCGAGGGATTGACAGTCTCACGTAAAGGCAGAGCGCCCTCGGGGGGTCGACGGTCTCTTGTAGAGATAGAGTGCCCCCGAAGGGTCGACGATTTATCATAGAGATAGAACACCCGGGGGGGTCGACGGTCACTGGTAGAGGTAGAGCGCCCCGAGGGGTTGACGGTCTCTCATCGACGTGTAATGACTTATCTTGTTTATCTTCGAAGCTGGTCTTCTATGCTAACTTATATCACCTAGCCTCTATAACCTCTTAGCGGCGGTGCTGTATTTATAGAGAATAGATAAGGGAAAGAAAAAAAGGAAGAAGTATAAATGGCAAAGTGTTTGGTTGAAATATGAAAGATTTGACACATATCCCATACCTGTGTCGGGTTATCCCATACCTGTGTCAGGTTGTGTCGACACGAGTACTTCGTCCATCTCGAAAAGTTTGAGCATCAGAGAACAAATCAACATAGAAAATCGAGCATCACTTCCTAAAATAAATATGCAACTTTTTGTAAATAGAATTTCGCACCCTTGAAATCAGATACCTTTACAAATGATGGATGTAATAGCACTCCGGCTTGAGTAAGGCTATCCTTTTTCCAGCCCCACTATGACCTTGGCTGATAATAAGTTGTGTTAAACTCAAAAAATGAGTAGACGAAATCTCGACCATGTTTCCTCCACTCAAGCATCACTTGCACACTCGTACACTTCGTTAGGAGGCGAAGGCCACCAAAAGAGAAAAAGTCCTATTGACCATTTGCACTTCAACGATCAAATCAACAATCGTACGAAATATAAAGAGTGCAATAAATGGGAGAGTGAGAGTTTGGCTAGGGTTTTAGAACATACCTTATTATGAAATGAACTCACATATATATAAAGAATAGCCGAGCTCTAAGCCAATTTGATGTTGTTTGATTAGCTAGGCCAATCCAATTCCAAAATGCTATTATTTAATTAAATAGTCTCAATAATTGAATAGTTTGATGCCACATCGACATATATGGGACCCTATACGTCACGCGCATGCCAAGTAATTTATAGGCGTAACAATAGTCCTTCAAATTTGAGTCGTATATTCATATGTGGATCTGACTTCGAAATATAAATTGTTAAGCAGCAAGGTCTTACAGGTTGTCTCAAAAATATGAACAGATCTAGTAAGTGAGGGCTCACAAACTGTCTCAAAAATATGTATCAATTCCAAAATAGGTGAAAACTTACGAATTGTGTCGAGAATATAAAGTATTTCAATAAGTGAGGACTTACGAACTGTCTTAGACAAATATTTGTGTGAGCCTGAATAAACGTTGGCTTATAGATTGTCTCGAAAGATGTCACATAATTTGTCAAAATTTCGACATCACTTCTGTAATATAGATTAAACCAACCCACAATATAACATAATATCTCTGTTGCATATATACAAAATAAATTGGGGTCCATTTGTCTCTCAAATTACTAATGACGATAGCGTGAATTATATCAAATGAATCTTAACCAAAATAGAATATGTAGAGAGCATTTCATGTATCATAGAAGGTGATATGCTGTCGATAATGAAATGAAAATATAGATAACGTGGCATACGTACTGACTATAATGAAAATAGTGTCATGACATGCTAGGAGTGATGTGATATTCGTACTTTGTAGCAATAGTTTAATGTGTATGCTAGCAGTAATATATAATGATACTAAGAAATAGTATCGCAAGTGAGTAATCAGAATCACAAGCCATTAAGCACTCATTCCATACCTCACTCACAAGAAGCTAG